AAGGCCAAGCCTATCCTGAAGACCGATGAGCCCATCTGCCCGAGGGCAAGCTGTCCTGCGGCGATGGCGAGTGTCTGGACAAGGAGCTCTTCTGCAACGGCAAGTCCGACTGCAAGGACGAGTCTGATGAGAACGCATGCTGTAAGTCCAGCTCTTTATATATCTTTCAGAATTTAAATTAAGAAAAGGAAGCAGTAAACCTTAAATCACTTTAAAAATTCCTCCCGGAGACTTAACCGCAAGTGTTTTTTTCATCCCCAGCCGTCGACGAGGATCCCAACCGCGCCCCTGAGTGCGATCCCACCCAGTGCGCTCTGCCCGACTGCTTCTGCTCGGCGGACGGAACCCGCATTCCCGGCGGCATCGAACCTCAGCAGGTGCCTCAGATGATCACGATCACCTTCAACGGTGCCGTGAATGTGGACAACATCGATCTGTACGAGGACCTGTTCAACGGTCAGCGCCAGAACCCCAACGGCTGCTCCATCAAGGGCACCTTCTTCGTCTCGCACAAGTACACCAACTACTCGGCCGTGCAGGATCTGCACCGTCGCGGACACGAGATCTCCGTGTTCTCGCTGACGCACAAGGATGACCCCAACTACTGGACGGGTGGCAGCTACGACGACTGGCTGGCCGAGATGGCCGGCTCCCGCCTGATTGTGGAGCGCTTCGCCAACATCACCGACGGTTCCATCATTGGCATGCGTGCGCCTTACCTCCGCGTGGGTGGCAACAAGCAGTTCGAGATGATGGCCGACCAGTTCTTCGTCTATGACGCCTCCATCACTGCCTCCCTGGGACGTGTCCCCATCTGGCCGTACACGCTCTACTTCCGCATGCCCCACAAGTGCAACGGCAACGCTCACAACTGCCCGTCCCGTAGCCACCCCGTTTGGGAGATGGTGATGAACGAGCTGGATCGTCGTGACGACCCCACCTTCGACGAGTCCCTGCCCGGTTGCCACATGGTCGACTCCTGCTCGAACGTGGCCACCGGCGAGCAGTTCGCCCGCCTTCTGCGCCACAACTTCAACCGTCACTACAATAGCAACAGGGCGCCCCTGGGCCTGCACTTCCACGCCTCGTGGCTGAAGTCCAAGAAGGAGTACCGCGACGAGCTGGTTAAGTTCATTGAGGAGATGCTGGGCCGCAACGACGTGTTCTTCGTGACCAACCTGCAGGTGATCCAGTGGATGCAGAACCCCACCGAGCTGAACTCGCTGCGCGACTTCCAGGAGTGGAAGGAGAAGTGCGACGTCAAGGGACAGCCCTACTGCTCCCTGCCCAACGCGTGTCCCCTGACCACCAGGGAACTGCCCGGAGAGACCCTCCGTCTGTTCACGTGCATGGAGTGCCCCAACAACTACCCATGGATCCTCGATCCCACCGGCGACGGCTTCTCCGTCTAAGGTCCACTTCTTCTTCTTCCCAATTCCTGAATTCCAAAATTCCCAAACAGGAGAACAACTCACAGTAGTTCCACCGAGAGTCTGATAACCTAAAGCAAGAAAGTCCCTACAACCTGTACCAGCGAGCCTACGTTGAACTGTCTATAAAAAAATACTCAAATTGTTAAAATCTTGTGATTGTGTGATCCTAAACCAGTTTCTCTGTCCGCTTTTATTTATGTACATTTTATTTTCCGACTCCCACATCTCCCTGTCCTAACTTTCCATCTATCTATCTGTCTATCTATCTGTATCTCTTATGTATCTGTATCTTCATCTGTATCTTGTCTTGCTTTTCTATTCTTTCTTTTCCATTTATGTTGATGATAAAGTGATTTGTTTTAATTTACTTCGCTGCTTCTTTGACCAGTTCAAAGACAATTTTCACAATCAAACAAAAACCAAGCGCCAAAAATCGCAGCAGCAAAATATCTTCGTAATTGTATAAGTATTTTTTATAAGAAAAATATAAAAAATATATATAAAAAATAATGATGAATGTTGATTTTAATGTCAGGCCTCAAGGATTTCATGAAGTTGCTGGGATAACAGTCAAGCCAAAAAATAATTAATCACAAGTTTTGCTGTGCTACTTTGATCATTTTATTCTCGCACATGCAATCTGCACTCGCTAATTACTGAAAACTACGTTCTCATTATTACTAAATTGTTACATTAACGATTTGTTTGCAAATACACATTTTATAAATGAACGAATTTCGCAAAGAGCCAGGAGCTCTTTTGGTTTTTGCATTTGGCCAGAACCACATATCCAAAACATATATTATTAAACCTAACTGAATGGTATTAAACTAAGTAAATTCCATCGACTCGAAAACTCGTTCAAAATGAAAGTCTTACCAAGTGTGTTGACTTGAAAGTATGGACATTTACCCAATTATGATTTGCAAATAAATCGCGCGCATAAACGTAGCATTTGCAGTGGACGATATGGAACGCAGATCAGAGCCGATTATAGCCATAGACGCACTTGCTGATCCCAACTGGTGGAGGCTAGACACATGCCATTGGGGCAGAGGCTGATGCAAGTGATGCGGTTCTCGTGCCCAGACAGAGTGCCTAGAGCGACAATGTAAATAGGGGAGAAGCCAAAAAATCGATATAAGTCAAGTGCCAAGTCTGAGCATTAGTCCCCGCTCTCCCATACCCATACCCATACCCATACTCAGTCCCACGGCAGTGGACACCAATACCCACCCGTGTGCCTCTGCTTCATTGTATCCCACGAGTGCACATTGCCCTCAATGCCGGCGCACATGAGGTAGCGCCCGCTGGTCGATAGAGCTAATGGGCACACAAAATCAGATTAAAGCCTCTCAAAAGTCAAGGCGACCAAGAGCGCCGGTCAAGACGGAACCCACCGCACGAAGTGAAGCCCGTGTTCTTCTGGGGCGGCTCGTACAGTCCGATTTGCTGGTCCGCCCTAAGGTCGTACATGCGCGCCGTCTGATCCTCCGAGCAGGAGGCGAAACCGAAGCCACTGGGATGGTACTGAAATAGAATAATATAGAATAGGGGGAGGAAAATATATAATCACACAGCGTAAGACGTTCCCTTTAGGTCTAATATATCTACTTTGACTTAGAGAAACTGTATAAACAATGTTGATTTACTCACGCAGACGGAGGATACATCCATGTCGTGGCCAAAGAACATCTGCTTGTGACCCTGTTCGCGAACATCCCACAACTTGGCAGTTTTATCCACAGAACCGGTGATATAAGTCTTCATATCGGGTGATAAAGATAATCCAGCAATGTCACCAGCATGTCCATTGAAATCCATCGTCTTGACGCCTTTCTCCAGATCCCAATGGCAACTATAAAGCCGGAAAGGAATTCGATAGTGATATGCATAAACTTTACGGATAACTCACATCTTCATGTCACCCGAGCCGGTGATCAGATGTCCATCGTCCAGGAAACGGCAAGAGCTGAGGAAGCCCTCGTAGCCCATTAGCTCCTTGACCATCTTGGCCACTCCGGAGGCGTCTCGGTTGTTGACGTCGTACACGGTGCACTGGTTGTCCATTCCTCCGCAGGCAACGAAGTTGCCCGACGGCGAGAAGGCTACCGTCATCACCCAAGCGGATCTCAAGGGAATGATCTGCACCTTGTTGGCGGTCCACGTGTCCCAGATGATCAGCTTGCCGTCCAGGGATCCAGTGACGCAGTGGCGTGAGTCCCCGGCGAAGTGAACGGAGTTCACCTTGTTAATATGCCCCTTGAGGATCTTTTTCGAAGAAAAGCGGATCTTGGGCACATCTCCCATATCACCGCATTTGTCGGTTATTGAGCAATCCGCTTTGGACTTTTGGTCCTCCTAAGAAATAAACATTTTTTGTTATAATTTCCTCAAACATAAAAAGTTCATCTAATTCCAACTTCAAACTGCTGACTGGTACATTAATTTAATTAATTTTATTTTCTTAATTTTTTCTTCTACAAAGAAAAGGAATAATTTAAAGGGTATGCTAATCAAGAATATAGATACAATGTTCCTTGTAGGGAATTTTTGTTAAACCTTAAACGAACACATGGGCTAGTCATAAATAATTTTATGCCACTGTTTCGGAATATCCAAATAAATTTATAATATCATTTTACTAAAATTGTTGCCATTACAGTTTACCTACAATACGTTTTAGTACCTTACAGAATTTATTTCAATTACTTATATTAATACTCTTTTAAAGTATTTAAATTTGTTTGTTTCAAACCAACCAAGTACCGCGGTTGAAATATTCTAAATATACTTATTTCAGAATTAGATGTATGAAATATAATTTTAATCTTAAGTAATATAAATAATATAATATAAATATTTTATATTATTTTCTTATTGACTTGGTTTGTTTGTAGTTTTAGTGTTTTAGGAAAAAAAAAAACAAAAAGAAACTAAATATAAAAGAAAAATAAGATTTAGAGAAACTGAAAATAATACGATTTTTAAAATCTATTTAATGCCATAGCTCCTTTACTCAATTTTACTTTACTTCATTTATTTTTGTTTTTATAAAGCAAAAAAGTATTTTTGTTAAGTAATTAATTTTAATTAACAATTTTTCTTTAGCATACGTGTACTTATTTAATTATGTTTTCCTTTTGGGTGCATTATATAACAATTTTTTTTTATTTCAGGCGACACTATGCTGGGTCTTCTTTATGTCTTAATTGGCAATATCATTAACCTTGAATTTTTGTATCATTCCATTGATCTCGTCGTATAGTTTTTGTGTCTCAGCATCAATTTTCGGCATGATTGAGCATTAATTAAAATGGATCGCAGCAATATTTGCGAAGGAAATACAATGTATCGTTATAAACAGCACCGCGTCGCACAACAAACTAAGTTCTGAGCAATTTGTATCGCTTGCATGTTATGATGTTTTCTTTTTCCCGTTGGTAATGCAATTAACTAATTGGATTAGCCGTTAAATTCGAATATGTACGAAAACGAATTTTGGGCGCCAAAGTCTCGGAATGAAATGGCGTTAGTATATTCACGAAACGTAGGAATGGCCGAAATGCGGCCACACTGCGCCCACAGCTGTTCGGTCACCTCATTTTTGTTTTTTGCTTTTATTTATAACAATTCGTTAAATGAACCACTAAATAGACGGAAGGCAGTAGCAGCGGCATGGACGCGAAGTAGGGGACACCATGGAGACGCTGCCATGTGCCATCCAGCTGCAGGAGCCCCAGCAGCCTCCTCCGCATCCACATCCGCAGCTCGTGAATCTCAGCATGGAGGCAAGCCTGGGCGAGAATGTGGTCAGCATTCCCAAGGAGCTGATCCTCATCTCACTAGTCTCCCAAGAGCAGTCGCTCTACAATCCCAAGCACCCGAATTATCGGAGCACCAAGGTCAAGGACGAGAAGTGGCTGGAGATCGGCAGCAATGTGGGTTGGTCTGGTGAGTGGACATGTCATGGTTTCAACTTCAAAGATGATCCCCTATGCTTCATCCATAGATGTGCAGTGCAAGTCCAAGTGGAAGGCCATGCGGGATCAGTACTGTCGGGAACTGAAGCGCGCCAAGGCCTGTGGGAAGGCGGTCAAGTGGAAATACTTCAAGGAGTTAGACTTTCTGCGTCCCTATGCGCTGGCAAGGAAGTAAGACGGAGCCATGAAGACAAATCCGTAAATCACTAACTTGTGCTTCTCCCACAGTTATAGGGGAAGATCTGGACAGAATGCCACTGGCATTGTCTCCACGGTGACTCCCATATCGCTGCCACTTGGGAATTCCTTCAGCAGCAACAGCAGTAGCCAGAACCTGAACCTCTCTGGCAGCATAAAAATAGAGGATGGCGGTGCCACCACGCTGCTAGATAACTGCAGCTTCAGCAACTCGGCCACTGCAGTGGACAAGAAACCGGCAGCCACTTTTATGACCAGTCATATGGGCGCCGTATTGCAGCAGTCCCAGCCGGAGAGCAACTGGAACTATTTGACCGATGCCGGTGGTGGTGCAGCACCCTCCATTATAGTACAATGTGGAACCGCCAACACAACCACTGTGGTGGACACTCTGTACAATGAGATTGTGAATGCCGTCAATCAGTCCAGCTCGGGAGCCGGCGGAACGGTTTCCGCTGCATCTGGCACAACACACGCAGCAGCGCACAATCAGTCCGCGACAAATGCCGAAGAGGAGGACGACGATCCCATTCACACCTTCCTCAATATGGAAAGCTACTTTGAGAAGGAACTGATCACGCTGATCCAGCAGGAGGATATGATCTACAACTACAGCAATGAGAACTATCGGAATGCCAAACTCAAAATGGAGGTTTGGGAGGAGATCGCGCGGAAGCTAAAGAAGTCAGGTGAGAAACAGTCGAGTAAACCGAATATTCAAGAGTACTAATCCTATATATTCGTTCTAGTGAGACAGTGCCGACTGAAGTGGAAGGCGTTGAGGGACCAATATGCACGCGAGCATAAACGATTGAGAACACTGATACACATGGACGCCACATCGCGGTGGAAACACTACGATTCACTGGGCTTCCTTCAAAAGTACATCCAACAAAAGACGCTGTAAGAATGTTAAAAGCTAGTTTAAAACTTGCATGAAGCAGGGATTTAATTTTTAAGGAATCACAAATCGCAATTTCATATTTTTAGGGATAACGACTCTCAACTTGGAATGCTGGCCAGAGCGGACCCGGCGAGGGAGCTGGAGGAGCACATGCCCCACTCCCATTCGCCACCCGCGCAGCAGCAGAGCACCCTGGAGTCTTCGCCGAGTTCCCATCTCAGCATGCCCGCCCTGCCTCAATTAACAGGCCCCCACAAGGCCGAGTTATCCAACTCAATGCCAGAACAACAGCAGGAGGAGCAAGCACAAGCCAGTGAGATGTGCGTAGCCACTTACGACGAAATGGATATTGAGAACTACATCAATGGGGGCGAGGCTCACCAAGAAGATGAGGAAGAGGAAGACGAGGATGAGGAAATGGAGAGTACAACAGCGGCGGAACAAAGTCAACAGCAGCAAGAGCAGCATGTGGTGAGCTACGACCATGATGAGGCCCCTGTTTACATGGAAGTTCAACGTGTTAGCAGTTCCATGACCAAGCAGGATCATCTCAGCGATGGAGCCTCCAACATGGAGCATCAGCAGCAGTCATCTACTGGGGAGTTTCAGCAAAAGTTGGAGATTCAGACACCCACTACACCACGATATCAGAATGCCAACACTCCCAGTTCCGCTTCCACTTCCCGCTATCACTCGGCGCCCATTACCCCGAACAAACCTAACCATGTGGAGTTTCCACCCGTAAATGGCCACAATTTTGGTGAAGATGATGAGATTGGTGCCTTTTTCAAGGCAGTGGCCATGAAAATTAGGAATGCCCAGTTGGAGCCTGTTGCTTTTACCGATCTGCAAATAGATATTCTGCGAGTCATTAACGAGGCACTGAGGAATCACTAGCACTAGCACTAACAGCAGCACTAAGAAGACCCTCAATTTGCATACAGAAAGAAAGAAAAAAAATGTTTGAGCGGACCATTAACGATTTCAGGGCGTTTCATTTTAGATTGTAAGTGTTATTTCAAAAGTGTTTTCTCTTAAGTTGTAATTGAGTTAATTTTTTCGTAAACATTTTTAAGTTTTGTAAACCTTTAAACGCAAACATCGATTGTCTAAGCTGCTCAAAGGCGAAACTTGTTAAGCTGTTAACTGTACATAGACCAAAATCCAATAAAAATTACTGAACGAAATAGAGTTTATTAGTTTAGGATGATTCCAGTAGTCACACCCTGGCTGGAATAAAAAATTCTAACAATTATGTAAATTAATATATAATATTGTAAAAAACTCGTACATAAAAACAAAGAAATTAGTTTTTAAAGAAAATGATTTGATCTTTTATATTCAACAGAGTGGTGTGGACTATTTATTCTTCACATATAGAATACTAATGAGGGATGTCGGTAATCATTGATAATATTTTTATATGTCAAGCGAATTCAATCAAATTTGTTATCATTTCGAAACAGGTGATATTCTATTTGATGTATCGCAACATATTTGAAAATATAAAAAGCATAAAAGTTTACTTTTAGAAAATATTGACAAAATCGAGATTATATACATATTTATAAATTCGATATATCAAAGAAAAAGATAAGAGATGATATTCCGTTGTTTTTTTTCATACAATATACATTCTAAATAAACAAAATAATCAGTTATTTTAGTTTATTAATTTATTTATTTCTAATAAAAATCAGTGTAATACCATAGAAGTATTTACCGGCTTAAAATTCTTATTGATTTGCTTGTTGCAAGTTGTGCATTTATTTGTACAATTGTGATGATTTAGAAAGGGTAAACTATTTTTAATATACTATTGATATTGAACCCAATAGCCAACACACTTTTTTAACTTTTTACACATATAAAATTTTTATATTTTTCCTAAATCAGTTTACAATTCATCAACAATTTAATACAATTCAATTTTTTTTTTTATTAATTTACAGCAAGTGACAAAGACATATCGAACCCTATATACTTGATCAGCATCAAATCCGAGTTGATCTAGCCATGTCTCTCCCTTTCTATGTACACAAGTGTCCCGGCTTTACAATTATATACAGAAACCTTCTGTATAGTATAAGTGGTATTGGCTTGTTTACCATGTATGTAAAGTGTCAGTGAATTAAACAATAAAAAACACCTGATTTCTGAAGCACCTCTGAAAGTTAGGTTTGTCAAAATTTCAGCCCCTACTCCAGAAAGCTTAAAGATGATGGACCCGACCCTCCGTTTATGCGCTCTCTACCCCATACAGGGTATGGAAATCAATGTATCTGGTAGTTAGAACTGGCAGTTGATGTAGCTTGCCTTTGTGAAGCCCCTTTCCTATGGGTTCTCTGCCCTGGGACACCTTCCATCCAACCACCCACAGCCACACTCATCCCAGTGGTGAGCACAAACATTTAGACAAACGAGCATAGGAGCGTAGGAGCAGCTGCCTCAAGTGGAGCACTTGGAGAGGCAGCCCAACCTCTCGGTTCCAAGCAGTACATACATTCGAGAGCATATTCCCATATATGTATGTATGCTCAAACCATTTACTATCCTGTATACATAGCTCTCTGCTCTGAAAATGGCCTCCCTTCGGCATTGGGCAGAAACCGGTTCGCTGGACGCATCCAATGGGCGCACAGTTCGAGGGAGACAACCGTAGTGCTGTTCGTACATAAGGCCGTACACGGGGGCGGTTCCCGGCGGAGAGCCCTGGGTGTGGCCCGAGCAGATGGCACCAGCTGGTACCTGCTGCTGCCGACGCTGCTGTTGCCACTTCTCGGGAAATTTATGTAAAAGTGAAAATTTTTTAATAAACATTTTCATTTTCAAGCGGAAGTTGCGATTGCCGGGGCTAATCAGACGTAGCGAACTTCTGGATCTGCAAATGGCAATTGTTTGCCACGATGGGCTCCACGCCTGATTGATTCCTTTACGATGTGGCTGCAATAGCCATTGGTTCGATGGTTCCGGGTTCCGGGTTCCGGCTCGCTTTATTCTGTTTGCTCTTGCAAATTAATTTCAATTCTTTGCTAAATGGTTGAGTGCGCGACTTTTAATTAATATCATGTGGGCTTTGGGTTGGCAATCGATGGGGTGGAGTTGATTCATTGGAGGGAGAGCTATCTGTGTTTAAAAATACTTTATGATGAAAATTAAATTATAAGCCTAATTGTTGCCTTGTAGTCTTCCAGTTGAGTACATTGGGTTATTTTCAAAAATAAGAAAATAAAATTGTTTTGCGCATAAGCTCAGAGTAAGTTTGGAATTTGTAAGAAATACAACTTTATTGAGATAATCTAAATTGATTAAACTCGATACAGATTTTATTTATTTATTTGAATTTTTCAAAATAATATTTAAGATGTATAATGTTTAGCCAATCTCTTGAAAATATTTCAATTTGTTAACCACATACCCATTTCTGTGTTTTGGTAAAAAATATATGCCTACTCACACTTTTGGCCTTTTATTTATAAGTTCGTACGTTTTTTACTCCTATATTTAATTTGTTTTTACAATTTAATAATTTTAAATACACATTTTTAAGAGTTTTTAAGCATTGGTAACAGCTGCTTTTATTTTGGAAAACAAAAAACATATTCTTAAAAGCTATAGCTTTCCTCCAATGAAGAATGGGAAAGTTATCTAGGTTTAGACCTTGTTTTTTCACAAGCACATCCCTTCATCAAAAATCTTTATCACATTTGGCAATAAGCTTCAATTTTTCTAAACTTCATGTCTTGTTAATGTTTCCCTACTTTAACTTCACTTGAAACTTTTCTTCGTCGGCTTGGATCATGGCATCATCCAAACCTTAAACATTTTGGACCGTTTTAAAGGACACCTTCAGTCAGAGGGCAAATCCGCAAATAATATTTATCCACACTCACCTTATCGCATTATGGCGCATTTGCCTTGCAATTTCCAGGACACGGAAACTATTTTCGCGGCTCATTTAACGGGTGCGTTCTGTCGCAGGAGAGAAATCATAAAAAAGACATAAAAATACATTTTTATTGCCTGCGGGCAGCTTGTAAGTAGAGCCACAGACACAGTTAAACCAATTTGCAACTCATCCCTTGGCATTAAGTATATCAAATTTGCCACGATTACGGGGACGCCTCACCGCATTCACGCCCACGGGCTGGACCCAAGAAAGAAAGATAAAAAACGCAGAGGACAGAAAGGAGAATATATTCGAAACTCATTTCCTGCCCAGGAAGAAATATGAAAAAATTCAAAAAGCTGGAGCCGCCTGCAGCTTTGGGTCAGAGAGATCCCGCGATACAGAGACAAAATGCTGACAAACTGCTGAGTGAATGTTGTCCCCGCTCCTTTCGCAGCGAACTGTTATCATAAATAAGGCCGAGCCAAATGTCAGCGACAGGCCTCCTCATATCATAAAGCAAATGCAAGTGGCGCAGTGAATCGGAATCGAGGCATCGGGCATTCAGTTTGGCTGAAACCATTCACGATTTATCGTCCGATATGCGATGCACTTTCCCCCGTTCCTAGTCCCCGTTTTCCCCAGAAGCTCAACTCCTTCTCCTGGCTGTCTCTCTGTTAAACTGAATTGTTTCCGGGAACTGAGGCTGCAACAATGGCAAACAGCCAAGCGCTGAAAAGCTTGTAAAACATTTGTAGCAACTGCAACTGGGAGAGTTCGGACTGGGACTGGGACTGAGACTGGGACTCGGACTTGGACTCGGACTTGGCCAGCTACTGTTGACCACGCTCGCCGCCGAAAATGTTTTATTCATAAAGCTTAGCGACAAGATCGTCGCCCGTTTGGTGCTGCTTCTGGTGCTGCTGCTGCGGGGATGTGGCGGCTGACATTGCTGCCGCTCTGCGATGGGCAATGTGGCAATGTGGCAATGCTGCTGGTGTGGAGCTGGACCCAAAACCTATGCTAATTCCACATGCAACTTATCAGCCGACGCGCATCTTGTCAAGAAGCTTTTGTGTGCGGCTGTTAGAAATGGCTCTGGACCCATCTCCATTTCCATCTCCATCTCCATCTGCGTGTCCTTGTCCACATGCCCTTCCATTTCCACATCCACATCCACATCCATCTGCGACTTTGAAAACTCAGCAAGGGGTGCTAATCGCCAAATTTACAACTTGATGCAAAACTTTGCCCCGCAAATGGGCCAGAAAACAAAACGACCGCAATGTGGGTGGGTGGGGTTGGAGCTGGAGCTGGGACATGTGGATTTGCCGGGTTGTTTCGGGTTCGGGTTAGCCTGGCAAACTATAAAAATAAAACGAAAGGCTGCCAGCGAGATTCCGAGCCGGGAAGTGTCCACACTTTTACCCGTTCGGCAAAGCTGCCTGCGGAAATATAACATTTGAAAAATGTACTTTTTTCACACTCTCCATCCGGAAATCGCGACAAGGGGAGGGGAGAAAAGGATTCTGGAAGAGCATGGGGTGAAGTTTGTGGCAATCACCAGGGTTACAATGGGATCAGGTATTAAAGCACAAGATCAAACCTTACTTAAACATAAATATAAGCTAATGTATAGGTAGTACTTTAAATTGAACCTTTAGTATAGGTTTGAACATATTGACAACTGATTTCAAGTTCCTTGCAGTTAACTGATGTAATGCATAATAAACGCCAATGATTATTAATCATTCTATGGCATTCTAGTATTAAGATCGTAATTATTCAATGAGTAGACAAGTTAACTAATGAGTTTTCATGGTGGAAGCGAAGCAGACCTGTTGCACTTGTCTTTTTACATAAACGATCACTTCGTGATCTGCCACATAGTTACTTCTCTATTGACGTATATTAAAACTAACTTAACTAATCAATAAATACTCTTTCTTTTTTTGTAAATTAACAAAATTACCATATATTTGGATACCACTGTGCGTTGCTCGGTTGTGACCCCGAAACAGGGTACATTTTTTTCAGAGTTCGGCCGCATAGTGTTAGTTACAAGAGACATAACACTTTGTTATGTGCGCTTGACAAAGTTGGGCAGCGAGACAGGCAGCGGTAAAAGCGCTTAGTGCCTTAGTTTAAACCGAATCGCATCCTTTTTCCACCAGGACACCAGATAGAGGACACACGCGCAGCTAGGCGGGGTGGAAAGTGGGGGATGTTGGCAAGGAATTGGGTGCTAATATGGTCAAAGCATTGCACGGAACGCCACCTTCCACATAGTGCTCAGCT